ATCGGCACCTGGAGCTTTGTTTGATGGACTATTTAAAATAATTGTTCTAACTTCATCAGGTGTGACTGTTCTAAATTCAAACAGATCAAGAGAAGATCGGTGTCTTGCAGGTGGTAAAGCAGTTGTCATCTGAATGTTGTTAACTTCCGCAAGTCTCTTGACCTTGTCGGCTGCAATCTTCCCCACAGAAGCAAAATATTCATTAAATTCATTGGCTAATTTTTTGTGGTCTTTCTTGTAAACGGGTTTTTCTGAATCTTTGCTTGGCAGACACCCCCTAATCACTTTCCACATAGATCTTGAATTACCTTTATATTCCTCAATTTGATTCCGGACAAAGTTGGACTCTGCTGCTCTTAAAGATGTTTTTATAGAATTCCTAAGTTGCCTATAGACGTCCCAATCTTCCGCGTTACGTGAGAGGCGGAAAATTCTCAGCTTTTTGTCTCTCAGTTTCATCGTGCACTTTAATTCTTTATTAATAAACTGATTAAGTCTGCCTTTAATTCTGATGTGTTTGATAGGCGCGTGTTTGTTCAGAGTATTTATGAACAATTGATTGAAATGATCAATTTTCGCATTTACATCACTAATGCGATAGGTTTCATGAAACGGAAGTTGAGACAGTTCTGCCTTGAAACTCTGGGAGTTGTAGTTCTTAAAACTCCTCACATCCTTGTATTCAGGTCGAGGCTTATCAGCTCTAAGTTTAAGTATACAGTATATCATAGAATGATCGCTAATACCAATGTCAACAACCCCGCTACTTTTAACTTTAGAGGAGGACGAAATCATAATAACGTCAAGTAATGAACTTGTTTGAGATGTAATTCTCGTTGGATCTTTAATAAGTTGGGTCAGGTGTAGTTCGGAGCAAGTATCTAATAATATTTTAGACTCATAACAAGATGTTTTAAGGAGATTGCAATTCATATCGCCCAAAATAATGATTTCTTTTCCCAGTAACAAAGCCTCAATGAATTTAGGTTTAAGTTCATCCCGTATACATGTAACCGGGCAGTCAGGTGGTCTATAAGTAACGCAAACAATCATAGATTTGTTTTTATTCACTTGCACTTGTAACCAAAGTTGATGGAAACCTACTGGAGAAATATACGAGAGATTTTTCAAAACTTTTGTTTTGAAGTCATTACGGACGTAAATACATACGCCGCCACCCTTTTTGTGCTTACGATCAAGTGTATTCCTGAATTTTTATCTCGGCATTAGTCGTGGACGTATTTAGCCATGTCTCTGATAATGCCAAGATATCTATTTTCTCGTCAACGACAAGTTCTCGTACTTGAATTAAATGATTTCTGTTTCTAACTGACTGCGCGTTGAGATGAGATAACTTTATTTTGTTAAATGAATGTTTTTGGTTATTCATTACGATGTTTGGGTTAACTGCATGCGAAATGTTTACAGATATTGTATTTTGAGGATTACGCTTCATCTGCCTAATCCTTTGCCATCGCGGAGACATTCTGATGGGAATTTGAGCCATTATACATACGTTGAAAGGATTCCCTCTGGGGGGCTGTCGTTTCTACCATCAGTAGATGCTAGTTTCCACGGTTTGCATTTCACAAACTTGGGCCAGAAGGTTTCGTTTTCAATCAAGAGGCATACATTTGCTTGGACATGAAGTTTAGCAGAAATTGAACCTTTCCGTTTACTTTTAAATAGAAATAAGTAAGTTGGTATTACCTTTCGCTTTTCCAAATAGCATAGAATATCCTGATCTTTAACATTCTCAGCAATCCCGGACAAGAAGAACTTTTTAATTCTATTTCGCTTTCGTTTAACCCCAATAAACCCATCACTATCATCAATTCGTTCATTCATTTTCCGAGCTGCAGGGACTTGCATAATATTGTCTGTATTATCCGTACTGGGTTTGCCATTACTCCTGTTAACAGAGGGATGAGATTTTGCCACTTGAGCATAGGTTCTTGGAGATCTGGATTGTTCATCAATACTTCCATCTTTACTTGCGCCAGTACTTAACTCATTTAAATTAATGTGGGACATATCATTATCATTAGATTCAGGAACGTTCCCTTTCATAAGCGAAATGCGATCATTGTTATTGTTATTGTTCATAAGCGATATTAAATTGATGTAGGACATATCGTTATCATTAGATTCAGGAACGTTTTCTTTCATAGGCGAAATGCGATCATTGTTATTGTTATTGTTATTGTTCATAGGCGAATCCGTCAATTCTTCCAAGACAAAGGAACTTTTAGTATTAGTAAAATTTGCATACTCAGACTGCTTAACATCAGATTTTTCTGTGTTTTTACTAAAATTACTGTTATTCTTTACTTCATTTCCTTTCACTCGAGAAATTACAGACGCTAAATCATGAACAGACTCTGCAAGCGATTGAATTATTTCGCAGTTTAACATTTGTCCTGCTTTGAGACTTTTAATATCATCAAAATATGCATCGGTCGCCATGCTTGATTGTGCTTGCGATGGCTGGGTTGGAAAAGTTAAGTTATCTTTAAGCATTACCTCGCAAATCTGTTTCTTGATTTCCTCTGATCTCTCACCATTAATGGTTAATACATGTTTATTCTTTCGCCACACCATAGTTGAATTACCAAACGTAAGCAGCTTCTTGTCCCCTCCAGGCTGTGACCATTCGCCATCTAATTTGAGAACTTCGCTCGAGAATTGCTTAAGAGAAACAAAATCGCCTGTCCAAGCAAGGCTTATATTCTCGATAAAACCTGACATTCTATCAGTCTTCTATCATTTGTATATTTGTACCAATGGTGCATTAAAATTGTCCACAAAGTATTTTAAAATATAAAAATTATCAGAGAGCAGAAAATACACGTCCGCACTCGTCAATACATCACGTTTTAATATAATGTGTGAGGAACCCGTTGTGGCTAATGCAAAACCCATATCACGAATTGCTACACAAATGTGCCTAGGAGTAAAACTAGATGAAACCCTTAATTGGGATAGTCACATTGAAATGATATGCAAGAAGGGGAGCGCTGCTATTGGCGCTATGAAACGTATAAAGCCCTTTGTTCCAATGCATACCTTAGAATCGATTTATAAAAGTCTTGTGCAGCCCTACTTTGATTATTGTTCCCCCCTTTGGGACACTTGTGGTAAGTTGCTAAGAGACAAGTTGCAAAGATTTCAGTCTCGTGCAGCAAGAGTCCTAACGTGTGCTAATTATGATACTCGCTCAGCTGATCTTCTCAACATGCTTTCTTGGGATACACTTGAAAATAGGCGGTCTGGTGCCAAGTCAGTATTAATGTATAAAATACTTAACGACCACACTGCGCCAGGTCTCCGGGGGTCATTCGTGAGAAGAGAAATAGATCAAACTAATTATTATCTTCGAAACACAGCAACTGATCTAACAATTCCTAAACCGAAACGAGAATTTCTTAAAAAAAGTTTTAAATATAGCGGCGCTATGCTCTGGAATCAACTCCCAAACGAAGCAAAATTGGCCGAGTCGCCTCATTCGTTTAAATCAATTGTTGGACAGCGACATGCTTCCTAATTATTTGTATATAATAACGTGTACAGTATGTGTGTACTAATATTTAGTTTAAATTTTCCTTTTAATTATTTTTAAGATCTAAACACGCCCCCCATGGAAACCAGCCTAGAGTTGATGGGGCTAGCGTGTTCTTCTTTCTGTTAATTTTAAATAAAGTATTACCTACCTACCTACCTACCTGTAACCTATATATGCGTTTTCGCGCGTGTGCGTTTTTATCCTTTTAATATCAAAACGTTATGTGCAGTACATCACTCTTTGCAATATTGATAACGTTTGCCTTTTCAAGTTTTGTTTTCTAGAATGCCTTCTATCCGCCGACCAAAACGGGTTGCTTCAACTCCAACAGCTTCTCGGGCAAACCAACAGCGTCAAGCAGCTGCACCTCGCCGCGGTTTACGTTCACGGGCTACTCGTGGTGAGGCTATTGGGCCAGTCAGTGTTCTTGGACATCCAACCTCTGCAGCGCCTGTCGTGCCAACGCCTGCACCAACAGCGATCCCATCGCCGCTGCCGGATGATCTGGTCACAACATTGGTTTCGTCGGTAACGGCCGCAGTTACACAACAGCTTTCAGCGTTCCTACCGTCCCCTTCGACTGCTCTTCCAGGGATTTCTCCGCCATCGTCTTCGACGCATCCTACGGTAGAGTCTCCATCTTCTGCCCACGCAACAGCTTTGGTTCAGGGCGCACTTGGCGAAGCCCACTCCAACATATCACGTCAGGTACGTCCTTTCACTATACCGGAACAATGCTCCCCAATCAGCCTTTTAATTCCGCTAGCCTGCCTCTCGATGCGCGAGTTCCTGACAAAATTAAGGGGAAAATATGGAGGGAAGAGTTTGTTGATTTGGGGGTTTTACTGAGCAATCCTGATCCAACCGCACGTTACGAGATCAATGTGCGGCCTTCGGACGCTGGCCGGCCTGCCTCGCTTGTTTTAGAACCCACTGCAAAATCTGGCAAACAAATAAAAAATATCAATGATTGGCTTCGCGCTTTTCACATTTTTGTATCTATTTACACCCAACGATACACACATGAGACCCCGCGCTCATGAAGTATTGTCAACTAATCCAAGATTTGGCCGCGCGCGACCATAATTGGTTTTATTGTGCAGAGGCGTAGCCAGGATTTTCGGTCAGAGGGGGCCGGCAAAAACCCAGGTGGGGCCAAGCCGCCAGTGACTCGAGACGCAAAGTTCGCGCAAGAAAAAATGTTGCGGACCACACAACATTTTAAATCTCCCCCCTCTCCCCCCGATGACATCTTTTTCGGCAAAAAAACTTTTCTGGACAATAACATTACAATTGCTTTCGTAGCACTTTCCCCAATTTCTGTATCACTTTTTCCGATGCTTCACCACGAAGATTCCGACTAACATTACAGAGTTTGAGCAAGAGAACGAAGTCGGACGACGACGACGTGGACCGTGGTTGACAATTTTTGCCTGTCTTGCACATTATCTTACGCATTCTGAGTTTAGGGTCAGGCGTGAACACAGATTGGAGATTTATGTCGACCCAAATCCTTACCCTGATCAAGACAAAACAGCGAGACATGAATCCATATCTCGCCTTCGTTCAACTGCCTTTGTTCACAACGAAAAATTCGCAAAAATTTTGGCAACATTCGCTGCGAACTTCGTTCCGAACGAAGGCAGAAGGACAAAGACGGGATATAGTTTCATTCTCGCTGTTTTTTCTGGGTCAGGGCAAGAATTAGGGTTAGTATGCATAAACAGCGACACATAGGAAGACACGTTGAGCAAGTACCAGTGACGTCCAACTCAGTATGCGCACGATAATGTGAAGACGGCATAAATTGGCAAGTACGCCTTCGTCTTCGTACTTCGCCGTTGTCTTGCTCAAACTCTGTATTGAGAATTTTCCGACGGATCTCCCCCCCCCCTCCCCTCCGGCCACGGCGCCACTGCCGAGCCCGCATCAAAAATTCACTTGTAAAAATAACCAGATAGGTTTAAACTTCATCTAACCCTCATTTAATACATTTTGAAATAATTAGGGTTAGAAAAGGTATGTGTTTCAAGCTGTGTGCCGCAAATAATCGAACAAGTGATTTTAAGTTTCACACCGATGCCCAGCAAAGCATATTTTCTACAGAATTTTTGCATTATTGACAGCATGAACCTATATAATCAAGGATCCCTTTTTTATACAATACATTTTATCAGGGCCCCCAAAATTTTGCCAGGGGAGCCCCAAAATTTTCCCAGGGGGGGCCGGGCCCCCCGGCCCCAGCCCTGGCTACGCCTCTGTTATTATGACGAAAAGTTTCGTTTTTTGCGCCAAACGCAGGCCACACAGGTTCCATGAGCGACCGTTCATTGGGAATTGTGGTTACGTTCGCAAAATTCCCCGCCGCGTAGATTAAGTAATGTGCCAACCGCGCAAAACGCTTCGCGAAAACCTCCGATTTTGTCTGTACCGAGGGGTTTTTGCTATAAATTTCACTGCGGAGCCTACTGCTCGGGATGCGATTTCAAGCACGTTTGTTTTAAGTGCAACGGGGCACATCGTTCCGTTAACTGTAATTTTCGCGCTTCAGCCAGAGAATCTCCCAATGAACGATCGCCCAAGCCTGTTTCGCCCTCCGTTGCCAACACCGGTAAAAGTGTCTAATCTAAAAATTTTATTAGATGGCTATGAGCCGCATCTTGTTGATAATTTAATGTTTGGTTTTTCATTTGGTTTCCGTATTCATTTTCAAGGGGCTGAACGATCATTTGAAGCCCGCAATTTGCGATCGGCTTTGGACAATCCTAAGGCAGTTGATTCAAAATTAAACAAGGAATTAGAGGCAGGTCGGCTTGCTGGTCCCTTTATTTCGCCGCCACTTAAGTATTTTCGTGTGTCACCATTAGGCCTGGTTCCTAAAAAACAACCAGGCGATTTTCGCATGATTCATCATTTGTCCTTTCCGAACGGTACATCAGTCAATGATGGTATACCGGACATTGAAACGTCGGTTCGGTAAGCCACTGTTGACGATGCCATTCGACTTATAAAACAAGCTGAAATTCAAATTCAATTCAATTCAATTCAATTCAAAACTGACATAAAAAATGCGTTTCGAATTATACCTATCAATCCGGCAGATTGGATAGATAGATAGATATATAGATAGATAGATAGATAGATAGATAGATAGATAGATAGATAGATAGATAGATAGATAGATGATTTATTCAGTTTTAAAAGACTTTACAGCTGATAATGGCTGAATTGTGTTAAAACTTTACAATTATAAAAATTTAAGAAACCTAATGATTAACAATATTTACAATTACTAACAATAAAAGAATTCATAAACCGATCAGTTTTGGCCCTTGGAACGTTAAGTTGCCTTTTACGTCTCAGTTGGTATGAACAGTTATTTTCAGATGGTAGTAGAGGTCTGAGTTTGTGGGATTGATCTCGAGTGATCTCATTAAACAGTTTGCACGTCAAGAGCTGCCTGCGTTCGAAGAGGCGAGGCAGACCGCTTTCTTCGAGGGAATCAGTGTAAGGCATCCAAGGGTAGATTATTCTCAGAGCTCTCTTCTGCAGCCTTTCAATGTCGTCTGATAGGTACTTGGGTAGCGAGTTGTGATAAACTGGGCATGCATATTCAAAGATCGGGCGAATACAGGTAGTATAAAATTTCAGAAGTTCCTTAGTTGGACTCAACTTAAAGAAATCCAACTATGTTATCTTTCATTCCCACCAAAAAAAGCTCGACTATCAAGTTGAACTAAAAATGTTTGACAATCATTCCAATAACTTGATTAATATTGAATGTAAAGAATTTATAAAATATTTAGGTGTTATAGTGGATGGTAATCTCACATGGAAATACCACATTGACAACATTGCATCCAAAATAAGCAAAACAATTGGCATAATTACAAGGCTTAGATATTTTGTACCTCTGTCTACCTTACAAAACATTTATCGATGTTTAATCTTACCTTATATAACATATGGTATAGCTGTTTGGGGTCAAGCGGCAAAAAAATATTTGAATAAGATACTTATTCTCCAAAAACGAGCAATACGTCTAATGAATTTTAAAACAAACAAGGAACATGCTATCCCACTTTTTATTCATTCCAATACACTTCCTTTAAATATGCTTTACATTAAAACAATTTGCAATTTAATGTATGACGTCTCAAATAGCTCTTGTCCATCTTCAATCTCCGATTGTTTTATCCAATCAAAAGAAGTCCATACTTATAACACTAGACATTGTGTATCCAATAATTTTTATGTTGAATACTCAAAACTAACTACAACTATCACATCCTTTGTAAAATCAGGTGTTAAAATTTGGAATAGTATTCCCACTGATGTTCGAGAGTTGGGTAGAAAAAATTTCAATTTGAAAATTCAGAAAAGTCTTTTAACCATATTTGAGATTGAGGACGATTATGCTGATGTGCCCACATTAATTAGATATATGAGTAAGCATGGAAAATAGTACATCCTTCGAAATTAATAGGAAATTAATAGGGAATTAATTCTTTTTTGTGAAAATGATGCTTTGTGCTGTCAGTATACTGCGCCACTTTATATTATAACCGAGCATATCCTATACTTCTTATTTAATCTCATTCTACTATCCGCCCCGATTAGCTTTGCTATTAGCGGATAGTATTGTATATACAGACTGTTTATGTATTTATTAATAAAAATTTGATTTGATTTGATTTTTGATTTTGGCTGCTCTTTTGAGTTGTCTCAAGAAATAGAAACGAGGTGCAGCCTTCTTGGTTGTTTCTGATACATGGAAGTTCTATTTTAAGTCGCTCGATATATTCAGGCCCAGCAGCTTTGCGTGTTGAACAACCTCCAGTGGCTTTTCATTGACCATCACCGAATCGAATTAGGGATTGGTCCTAGCAAATGAGATCCTGAGCTCTTTACATTTTGCCTCGTTCATTTAGCATGAGCCTTATCACTGCATTTTGGATCGTGCTCGCATTGCCTCTCTCCACACACTCGGACGTAGTGGTGTCGTCCACAAACTTCCACATATCAGTGTTAGCGATGTCAATGTCATCGATCATTAGTAGAAAAAGCCACGGCCCCAACTTGGTCCCCTGTGGAACACCTGCTGGAATATCCCTCCATTCTGATTTGCAGTCATCCGCCAATTTGACTCGCTGTTTACGGTGTTTAAGGAAGTCTATGATCCAACATTCGACCTTATGAGGGATATTTAAGATCGCGAGTTTCGTGGTAAGAATATTATGATCGATGAGATCAAAGGCCTTGCGAAAATCGAAGAGGACAACTCTTGTAGTGGCGCCATTTCCGTCAGTATCTTTTGTCCATTTATGGAACATGGTGATAAGAGCAAATGTTGTGGAGGACATGGGGATGGCGCCGAATTGGTTTTTCTTGATCTTGGCCAAAATCGCTGGTTTCACATGTTCCTCGACGACAAATTCTTCTGCAATTTTTGACATAATTGGTGTCAGTGAAATTGGACGCAGGTCTTTGTTTATGTCCTTTGGTGGGTTTTTCTTTGGGATTGGCACTATGTCAGCTGTTTTCCAGGAAGGAGGGAGGCAGCCTTCGCGATAGGAGCTGTTAAGGATGTCTGAAACAGGGTTAGCCAATAGATCAGCGTTCTCTTTGAGTAACCAGGCCGGAATATTATCAGGGCCTTGTGCTTTGCTGG